AAAAGAAAAAACCCCCCCCCCCCCCAATCTCGTCTTTTCAATGTTCTGTTTATATCTGGCTGCAGCGGTTTCTAATAATAGATTATTAGTCACCGAATTCCCTGGTTTTCTTTGTTCTGGGTGTGAAGCTAAGCCGTGGCTTTTATTCAGTCAGCCTTAAAAGACCCTTCAGGTGCGAGACCATCTTAACAACACTGGAAATGCTTTTATAAATGCCCACACATACATACACGCAGAGAAAAACGTGATTGAAATTCATCTCACACACTCTGCTGCCTCAGAGTCCTCTGGAGCCAAAGCGCACCTCTGAGAGTGCAAACACACACACACATTCCTCAACAAAGCCCTTGCGCTAAGCACAACATCAAATGAAAGTCTCTTCCTCAAAATGAATTTTGACAAAACTATTTTTCTCTTTAAGCGGATGATCAATCACATAGTAGTGGCTTTAGACTCACAAGCAGAAAGTTTACATATGCAACAGACCACACTATTTTTCTCTTTAAGCGGATGATCAATCACATAGTAGTGGCTTTAGACTCACAAGCAGAAAGTTTACATATGCAACAGACCACCGTGTCAGCTGAGGGCCTCACATCGAGGCTAAAATCACATAAATATAAATTCATGATGCGGAAAGAGTTATATAGAATTCATATGAATGGAACTGAGATTTAAAAGGCAGACAAACTGTATTCACAGCCGACAGGATTGAAAAAGAGTCTGAGTAAGAATCAACCTTACGACCTGAGAACATTTAAAAAAATCCCTATTGTAATACGCATGTTATTTTTAATGAATATTACAAATATAATGAATAGTATCATTGAAATATTATTATAATTTTAATTAATATTTTGAAGTTTTTAATTATATATAATTATAATAATTATATATTTTCCGTTTTCATTTTAGTTGTAGTTATTTCAAATAATTATATTTTGTGTTTTTGTGCTGAAATAAAAAAGTTTTTATATCTAATTTCAGTTAACATTTATTTCAAATAACAAAAGTTTTTATGCTGTTATTTTAGTTTCACTTAATCATAATACAGTGTAATACAGTGACTTACATATACAGTCTCTATACATTATATATAATCAATAATCAATAGTTAATATCACACAAAGAGTGCCATTTTTTCTCCAAATATCAGCATGATTGCAAATGTTATACTGATATAATTATATTTATTTAAAAATATGTGTGTGTGTGTGTGTGCGTATAAAATATATATATATATATATATACTGTATATATATATATATATATAAATATAAATGTTATATATATATATATATATAATTAGCATAAACTAAGTACATAACAAATGTTTTGATTGAAAAAAAAAAACAGTATGAATCCATAAGTCTGAGACTGAATTACATCTTTTAAATCAAATTAAAAGTATATTATATTATATATACACACATTATCAGGTGAAATGTGAACTAGACTGGTTTCGTGAGAGAACTGAATTAGCATTCACTGTACTGTTTCATTATCTCGTGCTCTAATCCTTGTCTGGATTGACTAAGGCTACACACACATACAATATTTGCCCTCCACATTTGAGAAGAGTTAAAAAAAAAAATCAAATCATGTGTACTTATACTGATCTATTCTTTTTTTCTCTCTCTCTCTCTCTCTCTCTCTCTCAGGATAAAAGCTCAAAACTAAGCCAGCGATCTGCGAGTCAGTAAACTGGGACAATTCTTTGATGAAACTAACTGGAGAATTTCAAGAGTAGGAAGAGAGATATGAAAACATTGAACATTGATGAAACATTGCCCCAAAACAGCTGTGCTAAAAATCCAGACTTTTCAAGAAGCGACTGAATAAGTGCAATCTCAAGCTCTCTGACAATCTGGAGTGTTTCCACCTCTCAGCAGGAGACGAGACAAGCCCCAACACACACATCAAACGCATGCGCTACACACAGCGGGCTGCATGTATTACTCTTCTGCCACAGTTGTTAAATGCACAGACCCAGGCCTGTCCTGCTGGCTGCTCTTTTCTCAACCGCAAAACAATTAAATAGATCAGTCTTTGCTTATTTCCGCTGTCATTTTGTCATTAAAAACTAAAATTCCCACAAGATCCAACAGCCACTTCAGGAAATCAATAAGACCAATTTGAAGCAAACAAATCAAAAATTGCTTCAGTAAACAAATTGACCTGGACACACAAATGTGCTGAAACACGCTGGTGTTTTTGTGGTGTTGCTTGAAATTAAATCATATTTTACTAAACAAAACTACATTTCCCATCAACCTCTTTGTCAGCAACAGCAGGTTAAAATACATATCATAAATTGTACAATATGAGCATATTGTTTGCTTTTCAATCTGTAGCATTAGTTCATAGCTTTAAGTAAATGAGCCTAATGAAGTCACGCAGTGTCTTTTTTTAAACCCCAATATCACAAAGTCAACTTTTGCTCATTGCTCACTGACAGCATTTAATTGATGTGTTTCACTATTTAAAAACATTTGTTTCAGCACCTGAAGCAGTGAATGATGTCACAACGTGAAAGTTCTTACCTGTTTCTCACTCAGAGCCGTGATTTTCGCTTGGAGCTCGTGAAGTTGTTTCTTCAGAGCTGCGTTCTATGAAAAAAAAAAGGGCAAAGATAAGTTTAAGAATCACTTATTTTTGAAACTATGAACTGTGTCATATCTGAACAAATACCTGGAAACATATAAATTCTGAATTTCTCAACCTTTGTTTAATAAAATATTTATACACACCACCAAGCTGCCTTAATATTATAGAAAATATAATACTCAGCCATCAGTAATGTTAAAGTTCTCAAACAAAGCAGAGGATTATTTCTAAAGAGCAACGTCATAAAGAATATTTACCTGTGGATCCTGCTTCATTTGGGCGACAAGTTTCTATGGCAACAGAAGAGAAGACAAGAATTTGCAGTCAAAACTTATGCCAACAGTTTTGAAGGGAGTTACAGACGTTGTCTGCCATCTATAGGCCACATGTGAAACTACAGCCTATTGCACCTGCCTCACTTTCAAACAAAAGCAGACAGAGCAGCAGGCAGCCTGCCAAAGGCTTTCTGTAAGAGTAACTGTTCTCCAGTTCACAACGGTTTGTGGAGACACCATTTAATGTGTTCATTTGGAACAAACATTTTACATTTGCAATGAACAAGTGTAATTTATATGAAACTTATCAATTTCAGTTGATGAGTTGATCCACTTGGTATAACATCAATCTTCCAGAGGCAAATATATTAAGAAGTGAAAAAGATAGGGGAGAGTATAATGAGTTCCCCAAATTATATTTCAGGACATCTGCTATTAACTGAAATTAGCATCTATAACATCAGGTAATAGAAATGTCTAATATTAGATAGATAGATAGATAGATAGATTTTCTGTTTTCACAGGTGTTGTGCATTGTGTTGTTTTGGGGTTTAAGGAAATATCCATAAACTTGACAACAACAAAAAAAAGGTACTGACAATTTTCTGGCAGGATATCCTTTTTTTTTTTTTTACAGGGTACATCTAAGGCCCTTTCCAAATATACAGTCACATTACAAAAAAATATGAGACATTTTGCACCACTTTATTTAAACATTTTTTTTTTTAAGCCCAGGGGCGGTTTTATGTTTCTTCAAAGTTTCTGCAGTCCACCAGTAGGCAACAGTGAGTCATGCGAGACCACAACACAACCCGTTCAGTTGCCCCGGATGAGGCAGAAATCCCACTTCCACCTGCCTGTTAAATATTCCAAGCGATATGAAGACAAAACCAGACGCCGGCACAAAAAAAGCCTCCAGTATGTAAAGAACACCTGCTTGAGATGATTCGTTAAAATTGAAGTAATGGCTTACGCTTTATCTGCCCAGTATGACCCTGATTCTCCTCCTTTTCCTTTCTCTCCATCCCTCCCTCCCTGTCTTTTTGTCTTTCTCTTACCCCACTCAGACAGCTCGACTAATTTTCTGCCTGCTGGGACACGCCGCCTCTGACTGCGAGGGGCAAGAACAGAAACATATCTTCATTTATCACCAAGCGCAATAGAGGACCTGGAGACTCCCAAATCATTTGAATCATCCGTAAAACAACGAAGGTGCTTTCCAGCATCGGATTGTGATTTTAGGTCTCATGTACTGAAAGTACAGAGACACTTCAGCACTGTTTTCCCCACCTGATTTAACTGATTAGAGGCCCATTTGCGAGATCTCCTACCTGATGGACTTGTATTTCCACTTTCAGGGCCTCCTGTAATGTTTGCAATTCCATCATTGATCCAGTTCGCCAGAAAGTCCCAGGAAACTTTCAGCCTGTCTAGAGAAATCAAACAAGAGAGGTTTTGCAGACTTTTTTTTCTATTTTATATATTTAACCATAATTTTGCGAGATGCTCGGCGGTTGACTTAATCCAATACCACCACGAGGGGGAACACGAGTCGGTATCTAATGTAGTTTGAGGGAAAAATGCACTTCTCTAAATCGAGCCGTGATTCATGATGTCTCAGGTGGTAGTAAACAGACACGCTTTATTCAGCTCGTATTCCCGCAGCACACTGCGAGAACCTCTTGTTTAAGTTCAAAAAAGTATTTTGGCGAAACGGGACTAAGAGGAGAAATAAAAACTCAATGGAGGGTCTTGTTGAAAAGCAATTTTTTGGGAAAACTGGGGTTGGCGGAGGATAAAAATTTGTGACAATCGAAAAGATGGGCAGGACTGTTTGCCTGTCGTCGGACGAATCGGAACAACCTCGATGCTTAGTGTAACAGTGAGCGAAACAGAGGCAGTGTTACAGACATTCATTCACTCTCATTGATTTTGGTGTGCGGCCCTGTGCCAAGAGGACAATTATAACAGAGGCTATTAGAGGACTTACCAGCTGGCACTGAGACTGGTGTTCACGCGCTCTCTCCAACTCCCTGCACAAGTTGAAACACACACACACACACACACACACACACACACACACACACACACTATTAGATGGGGGAGAGACACTCCAATTCCCTCTCTCTCTCTTACAGTCTGTGTAAAAAGGGGCAACATTTGCAAGCGCAGCATTCAGCGGGCTTGTAATTGCTCATCCCGTCTTTGAACCCCACGACAAAAAAGTCCTGCATCCCTGTGCATCTCCCGGCATCTTCGCGGACCTAAAAATATCTTCTTCAAAACTCAAGCATCGGATTTGTCCTTTGTGCTGTCCTGCCAAATGGAGTTCTGAGATATTAAGCGAAGCCTGTACTCGCCAGCGATGACATCTGTCATGACCACACGGCAGACGGGTATCTCAGGACCTTCAGCCTACAATGCACAGGAAACGACACCCTCTCAAATCGACAAGTGTATGAGTCACTCTGCTGGTCTTTGATCAAATAAAGTCTATAAATAACACACAACTAAATAGTACGATCACTGGAACTTTAGGAAGAGAACCGTGTCAGCTTGGGTGCCCATAAAAATTGAGTGATTATGAAAACTGAAGTGGATTATGTATGTCTTTTAAAAGCACGCTGTCTATATTCATAATATATTAAATCATAATTCTTGAATGTTAACTAGCTAAAAGACAAAAGCTGCAAACTACCAGAAAAAAAATGCACCATATATAAACAGTACCAAAAATAAATACATAAAAATAAATAAAAAATTATAAAAATCACAATCCAAAACCTTTACTAAGTCTCTGTAATAATTTACGGAAACTTGAAACTTATATTATTAATATTATTATTATTAATAATAATTATAGTTAACCACGTAAGAATAGCACCATGTAAGAATTAGTAAAATAATAATAATTATAGTAATAGTAATCATAATAATATCACTATTCAACTCATGAAACTTAATTTAGAGGCAAATTCCCCCGAAATAGCTGGAAAAAATGATCTCATTAGGTATTTTGTCATGGATGCCATAAAAGAGATTTATGTTGAATCATGATGCTGACCAGCTTTTAGAAAGCATTAGCTAACATATTAAAAAGGGCGTCTTAAAACCCTGCATATTAAATATACAAAGAGGACAACATTAGCATTTGTATAATGAAAAATTAATATATTTACTTTTGAGTTTACAATTCAAATTAGGTTCTTATTTGCAATAGGAAAGCTATACAGTACAGTAACACGGGACTTTTCGTGTCTCTGTAAAGTTTTCGGTGACCTGTTGAAAGGTTCTTTGTAAAACTATACAACCAGCCCAGATCAAAACTGCATTCCAGAATAAAACTTTTAGTTGTGGTTTGCCGAATATATAATGTACCTCGTATTTTAAAAGGTAAAAAAGCAATATGAATTACATAAAAGTGAGAATAAGTTGAAATAACATATTACTGTAATCAATCAGGTACATTGTATAACAACGCCATTTTCATATTCGTATTTAAAATTACTTTAATTCAACTATTAACAACTGATTAATCTGAGTGCGGGGAACAAATATACTTTACTTAAGCAAACTGATATAAGACAGCTACAAATAGACGAAATAAGGGTAATGTGAATTATTGTCTTTTATAAATAGTATCCAGGCCTGGATGAGGTAACAGAATATTACAACTACACCTGACAGGACACAAGTTATAGGATTGCCATTTTCATATTCGTATTTAAACGTAACAACAGACAAACATTGAAATTACTTTAATTCAACTATTAACAACTGATTAATCTGAGTGCGGGGAACAAATATACTTTACTTAAGCAAACTGATATAAGACAGCTACAAATAGACGAAATAAGGGTAATGTGAATTATTGTCTTTTATAAATAGTATCCAGGCCTGGATGAGGTAACAGAATATTACAACTACACCTGACAGGACACAAGTTATAGGATTGAAATACTTCCAGTGTCATGTTACATAAGCCAGTACGTTTTGTTTTGCATAATTGCTTGATATTCATGAATGGCATCAACAACAAAACTCCTGTGGATATTTCAAAGTAGTTTATGAGTATTATAAAGGCATTATATCTATTTTGCACATTGGTACATGGAATCATAAATACCCCAAAGATTTGATTGCCACAGTACTACAAACATTAAAAGTGAAACTACCTGGATAAGGAAAACAAAACCTAAAGAAAGAGCTCAACATGTCTGATGACAGTTTAAACGCATTTTTAAAGTTCCACAAACATGAGAAATATCAACGAGTTCAAAATATAAACATAATGAAAGCAAAACATGAGCAGAAAACAAAGTAGATAAAAAAAGTGAATCAATAACAATAACAAAGAAAAGGATACACACTTTACTAAAGTTTGACAAATATCAACAATCAGTTTAAAACTAACATAAATTGATACTAAACCTGTAAGGCTTTTGTAAGGCTTTACAAAATGATCCAACAAAGACTATGAAAGACAAACTGTTCCCACATATCTCAAATAAACTCCAAATGCTTTAATATGCCACCTGCAAAACTACAATAGTGTGCAAAAACACTCTTGACAGACAGTTAAGCTGCATTCGGACCCCAAACTATCCTGAGCTATACATGAAACCGGCCTTTAGCTCTGTACATCTGATCAGGGATTGTGCAAATGACAGGAAAAGTTAAGCAGCACTTTGATTAGGCCACTATTATAAACCTCTGGGAAACACGGAAGATGAGCCCAAAGTGTTTACCGACAGCATACTTTCACAAAGATTCACAAAACGGAGAAATGCATGTTTGATCCACTACAATATGAGGGTAAACGCGTTGTGAGTTTCTTTTTCACTCAGCCTCCTCCAACCAAAAAAAAAGAGAGCAACATTAAAAAAGCACTTTCTAAACAAACAACAAAATCGCAGTGCTTTAAAAAGCATCACTTTATCACCCACCCACTACAAGCCCAGGCACTAAAAGCGTTTAAAACTACCAAAATAGGAGTGAATCTTTTTTTACAAACCTGCTGCTGGATATAAGGAGCTTTCATATTGTGCTACGGCTAACTCTGCTAAAGCTAACAGGCCAACAGCACAAATTACAGTTAGATGGACTCGACTGAGCCGCAACCACTAATTCAAGCCATGCATGAGCAAAAGATCTTCATTCGACCCTCTTTTATGCCCTCTCTGCCATCGGATACACTGTTTCCACTGAGCTGGAAACAACCGTTGAGGCAGCAATGTATCCAGCGAAGTTTAAAATGTTACAAAATAACAAAACGCGCGGAACGTTCGACTCACGCGCTGCACTTAGAAATACACCACTCAACTCCTAGAAATAAGCGGAAATTCTGCTCCAAAATCATCGGGATCCTGACTTCTCTACCTACCCAATCGCGACGGGGTTTGGATTCGGAAAAGCGACGAAGAGTCTCTGAACGATTAAAGTCGAAAAACGAGGCGCATAAAAGTTGCAATAATAAAAAAAAGATCCCAAGGTGCACTTACCCTCCTCTACTCACTTGAGCAGTAGTGCCTCTCTCTCTCCCCACAAATTATTTAAATAAATATTTACAAACACTCCGAGGTCTCGGTTCGATCCGATCCCTCACATAGCTGTAGTGGTGCTCTGGGCTGAATTTAGCTAGGTTACCGAGCTTATTTTTTGTTTGTTTAATTTTAATTTGTGTGTGTAAAAAAAGAGAGAAACTGAGATACAAAACAAGAACTCTTCTTCAATCTCATTCACCACAGCCGCAGCACCCGACGATTCATCCGCGCAAGAAGAGGGAGACGAAGGGGGCAGGAAAAGTAGCCGTCGAAAAGCACAAATACCCCAAACATCCATCTAAACGATTCAGAAACATCGAGATTACTGTAAAAGTGCGCGCGCTTGGTGTAAAAGTGGACGTGAAGTTTCCTCAAAACGTGTTTGGGAAGAGGACTATTTTTTGTGACGGTGCGGCGAATTTATTTCACTTTGCCTAAGGAACAGCGGTAGTGCGTCTCCCATTGCCTAGGGAAAAACCCGGATGTAAACTCGGCGAAACTCATCTGGAGAATAGAAGTGGCAGTCTAACTCACTCAAACTCATGCATATATACTCACAGACAGCAAAATACGTTTTTTTTATTAGCATGTTGATTATATATGAATATTGCTATAAACAAACACAAAATAAATATATATTTCAAATATACAGTAAATATAACTGGTTAAATTATGCACACATTATGCATACATTAAAAAGTGCCAGACTGTAATAAAATAAGGAAAAGGTGCTGCTTAAAGTATCTACCAATATTACAGGTTAATAAAAACATTCCTTATAAAAACATAAAAACATATTAAATGCTCTAACAGAATTTCACCTTTTTCATTTATACACCGCACTAGGCCTACAGCTTTGTTTAAAGTCATAGAATAATGAAAGCAAAAAGCTAATTTCATGTATACTTGAACTTTCCCAATATTAATAATTGTATAAAATATTATTTTTAAAAAATGTCTATTCTACTGCCATTAAAATGTATATCACTTACAAAACCATATGTAGTTTTTAAATGAAATTTTCTTGCATAAGGGTTTATGACGTGACACTCCTTTTTTCATGACATTTTGTGATGACTTGAATTCACATTTCCTAATATTAATGTGTTTTTAGTTTCTAAAATAAACTGCAAAATGTTACATAAAAAAAACCGTATCAGTCCCGAGACTGTAAAAAGTTACTTTAAAAGGCCACCAATCCTGAAAATGTTGGTATAGCCTAAATCATTTATCATAATCTTTTATAATTATTTATTTAAAAAGTAAGCATTTAAAAAAAAAATATATATATATTGTTAATATATAAAAAACGTTTGTTTACCAAATCAAAATCAGTGTAACCAATATTCAGTAAGCCATCTCGTTGTCACATGAAAACCGTGAAAAAAAAATTACATATCATGTCGCACATATATATATATAACATACATACATATATATATATATATATATATATATATACACATACGTGTTTTAAACTATTTTTTTTATTGATTTTTAAATATCATTTTGGACATTCTCATTTACTGTTGACACCTGTACAAAACATTATTGTTAAACGTAAATAGGATCCAGGTAAATGCATTTTATGCTATATAGGACTTCCTCAAAAGTACTAATAGCTAACTGTATAGGATGTGGTTTTTTTATTTCTATCCCCTTGTACACTGAAATATATAATTATGTCACCTACATCCAGTTCCAACTCCTCTTTATGAACATTATGTCCATCCCCAACATATTTTCAAAGATGCAATGAATATATAAATATACACTTGCTTCCTTGTCATTACTACAGAAGAAATCTCATCTTGATATTATTATTTTATGAATATTATTAATATTCAACTAAACGTTCCAGTACTACGTTTCACAGAATAAATCGTCAGCAAGTGACTGCATCCTCCCTTCCAGACCACCATGTCTGCCTGACACCACTTCAGTCCTCCTATAACCTAACATCAAGTCGAAGTAAACGCCGCTGTCATATACGACTCAATGTGTTTTATAGCTCTTCTTTGATCAAACCGAGCGCACGTGCACCGTCGCCACGACGCTTTATGTCTGTTAACAGAGTAAAAAAAATTGATTTACAGAATATTCTACGCAAGTGAATGTTCCTACCACGTTATGAAAGAGGTGGCCGCTCCGTTAACCAATGAAATTGTCAGGAGTTAACAGTTTTTTCTGGGCCGCCATGACATTTTTTTGAGGCTGTTCGGAATAGTCTTTTTTTTTTTTTTTGCTGAATTTGTGCTGAATCAACACACCGTGAATCAAAAGGATTGCGCTGTGTGGCAGGTGTCTGTAAATGTAGGAGTGGTAGAATTCGCTTCAAATACTTAAAATGAGCTTTGCTCTGAACTCAACTCTCAGTTTGGGGCTCTAAACTCGTCATACAATGTGCTGCAACACGCGTTTAAAACTATTGGACGTAAATCTCGCGAGAAATAAACAAGCATCATCTGTGGATTAGCTCGAGTGGCTAAAACAAACGATGTAGAAGAAAATATGCAAACTCTACAAAAATACACACTATTTAATACAAACTACAAAAATCTTATAAAATATACTATATATAACACTATGCAAGAATATGAAATTCTAAAAATAACATGAAATAATAGCCTATAATCTAACATAATATGAAATTCTTTTTTTGACATATTAAAACCAAAAACATAGTTTATATCTCTAAATTAAATAACCACAAAGGACAATAAATCAGCATCTGTAGCCTACATTATGGATTTTAATAATTTTAAATAATACCATTTTATTAAAACTACTATGTGAATATAATAACAATGTGAAAGAATCTAAACAAATCTAACAAATGTAAAGACCAGGTTGTTGTTTGGCTACAAAACTCTCCATCACTAGTGATAATCAGCTAAAATATGAAATAAAATAACAGTGGTTTATCGAATCATCATGACCCTTTTATTCCCCACTCGTTTCTGTCATATATTGCTGCCACCCTTCACTAGTCTCAAGATGTCCAATTTAATAATGTACTCCTGCAAAGCTCTAAATGCCACCAGGACTTCAACATCCCATATAGACTCTGAAGTCAGGCTGCACGTTTAAATCTAAAATCAATCTTCAAATGTATTTGGGAACTTCAATCCATGGAAAGTAGCTTGACACTTTTATTATTTCACGTCTATGTGTGTATGTCCAATTGACTGAATAAGGACAAACTCCACAAAGAAAATGAAAGAAAGTTCATTAGTATTCAAATGTACAATTCTACACAAACAGCAGTGCAAATAACGTATTGTATAGTTTCATCCATCATAGCTTTTTTCTCTAAAACCTTCTGCTCAACTGCCTTACCACATCATTACTCAGTCTGTCACGTTTCTGCAGACATTTATATTCCATGTAAACAAGGAGATGCTATGAAATGTAGTGCATTTTACAGCCTGGCTTGAATGTTTTGGCACCTTCATAATATGATGAATAGGACATCTTGGCCTTCTCAGCCTGTGTAAAGCGTTTTGTCTGTTGTGAACAGTAGATGGGGCCATTGTACTGGCTACAACTCGCACGACTGAAAGCTGCTAACATTGCACAGAGATAAGCCTGAACTTGAACTGATGAAGTGCTTACTTGGTCTTTTTTGCATTTAAAACGGGGTGCTGCACGTGCTCATCGGTGGCACATGTAATCTAAAGAGCCACATGTAATAAGCTGATGCTCTCAGACGGTGCAAAATAGTACAACGTGGTACAAAAGATGGTACATAAAGTACAGACGCCTATTAATGTTCTCTCTCACCTCCACACTTTTTGCACTGGTATACTGTCGTAACCAGTGTCAAGGTTACGTGTAGGCTTCGTATAGTACTTAAAAGGCTTGTGTAGGAGAGGAGGATGCTGCAATTCTTACCGTAGATCTGTATAGTGGCATAGTGTGGAACAGGCGGCGCCATTGTGCAACAGTCTATATTCATGTAAAAAAATATTGAGAATTGCAGTTAAAAACGGCACACTCAGTTATTTTTGTCTCATTTAAATATTTTAACCCTAAATAAATTACTAGCTTTAAAAAAGTATCTTTAAATCACACTCACATTAGATAAAGGCTATAAACGTCTGTTTAATTTTAAATGGAGCGAGTCGCTATCACGTGACCGCCGACAAACTATTCAGTTTATGTCGTAAACACCCCAGCGCAACATAAACAAAAATTACTGTGTGTATCTTTTACTGTAGTCTAATGATACACATTCAGCTTGGTGTATAGCAGTTCATTATGTGTTCTTGCATATAGTCACATGGACGTCTCCGCAAAAGCATTGATTTGTGAATTCTGACATTTTACATCTGCCAGAAGACATCTTAATAATAATTAGGGTTTTTATAAAGATAACAAGATGTTCAGAGATGTTGTAGCCTATTGCCAGATATTAAAGCAGCATAGGCTATTAGCCTAACTTTACAGGCTTACTTCAGAAATCAAAATCATGCAAAAAAAAAAAAAAACATATCTCAAGCAGTGACATAGTTCACCTGCCTGAAACTTGACTTAAGGGGATAGTTCACCAAAAAAAATGAAAATTCTGTCATCATTAATTTACCCTCAACCAAACACTTCCCTGTTGAAAAAAAAACAGCATATGCTGGTTAGGTATGTTTTGACGCTGGGATGCTGGTTTAAGCTGGTCCTTTGCTGGTTTATGCTGGTCCTTTTGCTGGATTATGCTGGTCCTTTGCCAGCCAATGACCAGAATCAACCAGCAA